AATAAACAACACAATTCTATGACTATGACTCTCTTAAGGTAGCCAAATGCCTCGTCATCTAATTAGTGACGCGCATGAATGGATTAACGAGATTCCCACTGTCCCTATCTACTATCTAGTGAAACCACAGCCAAGGGAATGGGCTTGGAAAAATCAGTGGGGAAAGAATACAAATACAACACAATATGAAATATCTTACTGTACAGGGGAAGAGGAAAATCTCGATGAGACTGGAAACAATCTTGTACACTCCACATGATTTGATGTATTTACTTCAGGAGTGCAGTGTTCTTCAAACAATCTCATACACTCCACGTGATTTGATGTATTTACTTCAGGAGTGCAGTGTTCTTCAAATAATTTCATACACTCCACGTGATTTGATGTATTTACTTCAGGAGTGCAGTGTTCTTCAAACAATCTCATACACTCCACATCATGTGAAAGCATTTGACTGAATGAGATTCTTTCTAGTCTCACCAGGGTTTTATTTTTTTATCCTGTACAGTAAGTTATTTGATATTTTTAGAAGTATGTACCATTAATTATTGAAAATCGAATTCTTAACTTTGAGCACTTATACAAGCGCCAGTGAATTTTAATAAAGGAAATTACTAGTTGAAAGTACAGTTGTTGTTGCAACTATTTCATCATATTTACATAGTTTATTTTACACTTTGTCCATTATAAACTTTTCTGGTTAAAAGTAAAGTTGGTTGTTGTGACACTATGCCATCATGTTTATAAAGTTTATGTTACACTTTGTCCATTATAAACTTTTCTGGTTAAAAGTAAAGTTGGTTGTTGTGACACTATTCCATCATGTTTATATAGTTTATTTTACACTTTGTCCATTATAAACTTTTCTGGTTAAAAGTAAAGTTGGTTGTAGTGACACTATTCCATCATGTTTATATAGTTGTTACATATCTGCTTGTTTGTTAATTTCCTTTAGAAATTCTTTCAGAGGAACTTCAGCTATACAAGTCCTTTCTTAATTAAACCAGTTTATTCTTCCTCGATACAACTTTTAGTACACAGTAATTCCACAATCAATACGTTTCATGTCACTTTCAAGTTAACGACTTTTATAATACACGCTATATATCACAGTGATTCACAATCTCGATAACTTCACTCTCTACAAGTACAAAACACACACTTTATTATTACCCAAAAAACCATAATTACTGTTCACTTAACTATACCTTCATCACAGGCTTTTCTGCCAGGCTTATATACTAAAGAAGAGGGCATCTCGAATGCACTAGGACTCCCCCAAAAATTCATGATCATTCGAGAAACTCCTCGCACATGCCACCAGCACCAATGTACCAGCAGCATCACGTGACTTCCGCTGTAGTAACACTGCCCCTTCCTTAGTATTGTTCATTCCAAACAATAGCCACTTACATTAAACCAATAGATAATCAACAATAACTTAATTAAAATCTTCAGAACTTACAACACAAAATTAAAATACAACAAAGTCTCTTAATTTTAGAGGACGTTTCTTCTTTCGTACTGGTCTCCGTCTCATTGGCTTCTGCTTCACGTGGGATTCATCAGTTCCATCAGAAAATGTCCCATTATCAGTAGTAGTTGCATTACTGGTAATAACTTCATTAATGGCTTCACTGTTTTCCCTCTTAAAACCTGGTAGAGTTTCTTCTTCAACAGTGGCTTTTTCAGGTGACACGTCTTCAGCAGCATCATTTGTTCTATTGTTCATTTCATTCCAACTGAAATGTCTTGGACTGTGATAATGCCAAAGCCTGTTGGCATGCACCACCTTTGCACCTTCATGGAATCAGCAGACGTTTTCAAGTTTGAATGTACTTGATGGTGAATATCATCTATCCTTTCAGATAACACTTTCACAAACTTTGACACATTTTCAGGCAAATCTTCGTAAGGTGGGCATCCTGTTATCAGGTCCATTGGCAACCGAAGTTCCCGACCAAACATCAGCTTTGCTGGAGTGTATCCAGTGGCTTCATGCTCAGCTGTTCTATAGGCCATCAACAGTGGAAGGAGTAAGACAGCCTAGTCATCTTGGCAGCTATTACAAAACTTTGCCAATTCCTGTCCAATTGTACTTTTCTACCATCCCATCGGACTGTGGGTGGAGTGTCGTTGTCCTGGTCTTTTGTATGCTAAACAACTTGCAACATTCATGGAACACAGCTGATTCAAAGTTACGGCCTTTATCCGAATGCAGTTCGTATGCCATACCAAATCTGAAGAAGAAATCACTAACAGCCAAAGCTACAGTTGTAGCTTCCTGATTTGGTATTGCATATGCCTCAGGCCACCTGGTGAAATAATCCATCACCACACAAATGTACCTGTTTCCAGCACAAGTTTGGGGCAAAGGACCAGCAATGTCAATGGCTACTCTTTCCATTGGTGCACCAACTTGATATAACTTCATTGGAGCATGTCCCTTATGCTTGGGTCCCCTTTTAGCACAACATGTACTGCAGGTCCTGCACCATTCTTCCACACCTTGCCTCATACCTATCCAGTAAAATATCTGTCGTAAGTGACTCAATGTCTTCTTAACTCCGAGATGTCCTCTTGTTAAACCATCATGGGATTGACACAGCACAGCTTCCCGTAACTTTTTCGATATGACTGTTTGCAAGGTCGTCACTTTCCCATCTCCGGACAAGAATACCATCTTCAAGTTTCAACTGGTCTTATTGTGCCCAATAGTTCTCTGTCACCGAGCTTAAGCTACACACCTTCGCCCAAACCGGGCACAAAACACTTGCTTTTAGAAAATCAATTATTGGCTTCAAATCTTGGTCTTTCTCCTGCTCTGCTTGAATAGCTATCCCTGGTTCCATTTCAC